GTGTCCCTGGTGACCTGACAGGTCCTGGGGTTTTTCATCAAAGCTTACCCATGTGTTTCCTTCCTTGAGACTTCCTTTTAGGGCTTTCCTGCTCCAAGCCTGCACGCTGCAGTAGGAAATCTGTTTTCTCTCCTGAAGCCTCGGGTTTTCTGATTGTGATCCTTAACACTGAGCCTTCGAGCATCTGGATTTTTGTTTTGTTTTGTTTTCTTAAGTCCAGGTTTCTCTTTGCAGCCATGGCTGTACGGAAACTCACTTTGTAGACCAGGCTGGCCTCAAACTCAGAGGTCTGCCTGCCTCTGCTTCCCGAGTGCTGAGATTTAAGGCGTGTGCCACCACCCCCAGCTTCGGAATTTACTTTCTTAAACCACAGCAGTTTTATTCTTATAAAGTTTCTATAACATATGCAAATGTATAAGATTCAGATAATAATGAAAAACTATATATCCATTATTTGTCCTGTGAGGCTATATGCTAATGCCAAAAAGCATCAAATGTGGTAGATGGGTTATTTTTAGATACAGGATTTTGCTATGTCACTGAATACAAAAGACTGGAGCTGTGTAGCTAAAGACAGCCTCAAATCCACAGCCCTGCCTTTGCTCCCTGAATGCTAGGATTTAGACACGCGCCATCACAGCCAGCAGGAAGTGCAGTTTTCCATTGCTTTAGGAAGGAAAAAAAAGACAAGCGAAGGGTGTAACTTGCTCAAGTTGTATCAAAAATAGGGCCACGTGTGCAGGCCTGAGCCACATGTCCCACTATGGACAGCACAGACAGAAGGCAAGATGCACTGATCTTGTTTTGTCTATTTAAAGTTCCTTGCCTACTGCTTACCCTACTTGGAACCTGCTTTTGTATTTTCTAACATGAAGAACCAAAACAGGCTGCCCAAGAGCAATACCTAGTGGGAACATGTGTTACACCAGCGTGTTGTGCTTTCTGGCGTTGTTTGCTGCGTTTGTGTCTTGTAAGCCAAGGGCAACAGTTACTAAACACTCAGACCTGAGAGTCTGTAAGTGACAGGTAGACAACTGTCACACTGGAACAGAGTGAAGCCTCTTACCAACAGCCTTGTGACCCTCAGAGCCAGCTCGCCCTCACCCCTACACACACACACACACACACACACACACACACAGCGGCTACCAGCCACCGTTGTTCCCACTCATCACACCTCTTCCTGTCTCCCTGTGACCTCTTCCCCAGATGGCTGTACTGTGTGCGTCATTACCAGCTTCAGGTGTCAGCTCAAGTCACCTCGACCATGTTACTGAAATCATGAAGCACCCGAACTTCTTATTTCTAAGTGCCTTTATTTGCTCCGCTTCTTAAAAATGTGTTCATCTTCTGAATACGAGTACCCGGTTTATTTGTTGTATTTATTACCTGCTTATCTTTTGTATTTATTATTTTGTCCATCTTCTTCCCAAACTCTCAAGTCAGCTCATTGCGACGTTCCTGCTTCCTTCGTTCACCAGGGTGCCTGGTCTAATGTCTGGTCTTTACCGAGTGCTTATTGGATGTCTATTAATGGCCAAGTAAATCAAAACAACTATTTGCTACTTAAAGATACCCAGCTGGTCACAAAGATAAGAAATGACTGATTTAAGCCCGACAGGGTGGTGCAGTGCACACCTTCAATCCTAGCGCTTGGGAGGGAGAAGCAGGTGGATCTTTGTGAATTTGAGATTAACCTGGTTCCAAAGTGAGTCCCAGGACAGCCAGGACTGTTACACACACACACACACACACACACACACACACACACACACAAAAAAAAAAAAAAAAACCTCTCTCAAAAAAAGGAAAAGAAAGAAATGGTTAGTTTAAAATATAATCCCATTATTTAAAAGATTCATAATTCAGCCACCTTATTTTTAAATAAGCATTTGCAAAATCTTAAAAGGCCTGTGAGTTTAGATTTGACTTTGGAATGTTCCATCCTGCTTGTAGTTTTTGATGTCCCATTGATCTTAAAATTGAGCTACCTGTTAGAAAAGCTTGCAAGTCAGGAATTGGTTTTCTTGCTCTATGGTACAAGAAAATTTCTGTTCCTTTGCGTTTTCTCCAATCTAAGAATTCACTTACTTTACCTCTATTTACATGTGAGCCTATAGCATGCATCTCTTTTTGAGTATTCTTGCTTACTATTTTTCATAGTTAAAACTTAACTTTGTCTCTGTGAGTTCAAGGCCAGCCTGGTCTACAGAGCTAGTTTCAAGACAGCTAGGGCTGGTAGTCAGAGAAACGATCTCAGGGGAAACACACACACATACACACACACACACACCAAAAAAAAAAGACCTCAAATTTGATGTTACTATCTTATTTTAAACCAAGAGGTGTCTTAATTTCTTTTTTTTAACCCCAAACAGAATTTTCATAATTTATTTTTTAACATACTTAAGAAACTCTTACATTAAGAGATGCTAAGTGGCGCTAATGAGCGCTAACACCGCAAACCAACATGTTGACCAAAGGGGATTTAATCCATTTTACGTCCTGGGATGAGGAAGCATAGGAAGAACAGAGAAACTCATGTCATTTTGTTTCCATGTTTCTTCTCCTCATTTTCATTAAGCAAAATGCATTTGTTTCTAGAAACAACTGATAAATATGTCTTCCAAAAAGAATCTAATCTCCAGGTGAAAGGTTATTAGTAGAAGTTCACACTGTGACACTTGTTGCCCTGCTAGGGGAGGCAGAATGATTTACATTATCCTTGCCTTTGGGTATTTGGCTACACTGTTCTCCACCTCAATGCTAATCAGGACTTGAACAATGGTTTTGTCTAGTTAAGGGACATGGGCCCACCTTGGACCAAGTTTTTTGGAGTTAGATAATCTGGGCTAGCCAATATCAGACTTGCCTTTCAAATTTGCAAACAACCTTACAGGAAAGCAATTACCTGTTCCATTTTCCAGGTTCAAGGCCCAGAGTGACTTGCCGATAGGCATCAAGCAAAAGTGGGTTAATTTGAGTACATGGAAGGCTTGTGCCTCTTCCACTCCCGTGAGCCCTCTGCGGCTTCCTAGTTTAACCCCACAGGTGTGTTTGTAGATGGAGAAGCTGCACCCAACAACTTCATCTGCCTGTATTTCTCTGTTCATATCTGAAAATGGCACCAATGATAGACTCCCCCTGGTCCCCGGCCCTTGGCTACTAGGAAGCATTTGTGTTTGCTATAAGAGAAAGCCCCCCCCCCAGGATATGTGGTCCTATAATTCTTCATCAATGTGTGTAAATCCATGCCACCTCTTTGGAGTCTGGAGTCTCTAACAGGTGTTAGCACCCATGGTCACTAATGGCAGAGAAATGAACATTTAAGGAGGAGCTACGTGAAATACTGGTAAAAAACTGGTAAAGGAACCATTTCAAATAAGGCCACTTATCTTGGCTATTCACAATTCTGCCTTGCTTAAGGAATAATTTATATTCCTTTTTTCTGAGAGTTTCAAATCTCAGAAGATACATGCCTCAAACATTTGCATAAGGTTTGAAAGGATGCAAAAATGGATTTCATAAGCATGAGGGCAAACTAGACACAGCAGTGTGTTCGGGGCTAGAGGCGGTTCACACGTAGCCACTGCTGGGAGTTGATTGAGGAGAGATGGCGGTTAATACAGAACAACACAGGAACTGCGATGCTTACTACCAGGATCTTCTTGTGTTGCCTGAGGTTAACAAATTCCAATCAAATAGAAAGTGGTTGATTGTTGTTATTTTGAAAAAAGGAATGTGCTGTCATCAAACAAGACAAAGTGTGTGTGTGTGTGTGTGTGTGTGTGTGTGAGAGAGAGAGAGAGAGAGAGAGAGAGAGAGAGAGAGAGAGAAAGGGGACCTTGGAAAAGGCCTCATGGATGGGGCTGGAGAGATGGCTCAGAGGTTAAGAGCACTGGCTGCTTTTCCAGAGGTCCTGAGTTCAATTCCCGGCAACCACATGGTGGCTCACAACCATCTGTAATGAGATCTGATACCCTCTTCTGGTGTGCAGGAAAAACATGTTTTATATAACCAATAAATAAATCTTAAAAAAAAAAAAAAGAAAAAGAAAAGGCCTCATGGAAAAAAAGTTCTTCTAGCCTTGAAGAAGGGTTTGACTGCTGAGAGGGAGAAGCCATTGAGGCTGATGAGCAGAGAGAGGAAGCAGGAAAGTCTTCAGTGTCTGCCACACTCAAAAGGTGTCAAGAAAGGTGTGCTGATAAATTCAGACCTCCCAGGAAAAGAACGGAGAAGAGGTGGGGGCCTGAACTCATCTGTAGACTATCAGGGAGGCATTATGCCAGAGTTGAGCTCACGCTCTGTTCTCTAAACAGACAGTCACATAGTGTGTGTGGGGCGGGGGGGTCTGTGGCATGGAAGGACTTCTTTCCTTGGGAGGTGATTCTGGGGAGAGAATAAAGGAGAGCTGAAGAGACACAGCTGGGAGTCTGGAAGTAAAATCGCAAGTTAGAAGAACATGTCGAAAGTTCAGGGAGTACTGCTGTTCGCGAGAGATGATGGGTCCTTGCTAAGATGTTGCTGGGGAGATGAGCAGAAGAAAATGAAAGATAGGAGCAGAGATGAGCTGGCTGGAACCAGGAGGAACTGGGAAGAGACACTGTCAGCTTCCATAGTGAGATTAGTTTCTGGAAGAGTCTCCAGTTGCTGCGTAATGACCATGCGTAGCTGTAATGAATTAGTGTCATTTTCCAGTTACTTCTAACATCCTGTTCGTAAGATATGAATCTGTTTGATCATTGTGAGTCATTGAAAAGATAGCTTAAAATGTGTTCAGCTGGAACCGTGGAGCCATGACTCTGCCCTCAGAATCTTGAACTGAAAACAGTAATCCAGGTGTGACCATGTCCGACACAAACAGAAAGCATTTGCAGAAACATAGCCTTGGTGGGCTGCTTTGACTGAGGTCCTTTGGAGTCTCCAGTGCCTCTTCTTGAAGATACCTGTCACCTCTCTCATTTTCTCTCTGTTTTTCTTCCCCATGCCTTCGCTTTTAGAGGAAAAGCCCGGTAAGAGAAACCATATCCTTCTGATGCTTTGGGCTAATTACTATGCATTTCATTCATTCTCGCCATCTCTGTATCTCACGCCTGTTTAACATCAAAACCAAGTTTCCAATGCTAAGACCAAACTTCGTCACATGATGCCACTGGGGACAAGGAAGCTGGTTGCTAAGAGATTTCTTACCCATTATTATGGACTACAAGGGGGTTTTGTAGAGGGTCACAGGCATACAGCTCAGTACTTTCCAGCCAAGGTTTCATTTCTTACCGCTTCCACTTTCACTGGCCAAGCCGCCCATGCAAACCATGGACATTTAATCTTGTTTTACTGGACAGCCTGAAAAGGAGGGGGGTTTTCAGCAGAAGATTTCAGATTAGTCTGTTTTCAGTCATTTTTATTGTTTCAGTAAATCAAGAATGATTGGAAAGAGGGATCTTTTTATAAAGTAGATATTGCAGGCAGCATAGTGGCTCAGTGGGTTACAAGGCCTTGCTGCCAAGCCCGATGACCTGAGTTTGAATCCTGGGAACCACATGGAGGAAGGAGAAAACCGACTCCCACAAGTTAATCCTCTGACTTCCACACACACCATGGCATGCATGCTCCCGCATGCAGACACACAAAATGAATATAATCAAGTCTGTCTCACCTTCTGAGTGCTGCTTGCTAGTGCTGTGGGCGAATTTTACCGAAAGCACCATCTGATACGATGTGATTACACCTTTATCTTCAAGCAACATAGATGTCAAAACAAAAACTTCTTTTAAGAAGAAAAGGGAAAGAAGGAAGAGGCGTTTGTTCTCTTGTTTTGGTTGCCTGGAATATTGGGAACGTGTTCCCAGCATGCCTGGCCAAGGCTGATGAGGGTAATGCTAGTGTAAAATACAAACACATTTTGTCACATCAGCCCACAGTTAGAAGTTGGTTTATTCCACCGAGCTCAACTAGGGGGCTGCTGAAAGCTTATGCTTACCTTGTGCACTGGCTCCATCTCTACCTCACGAGGAAACTGCCCTCAAAATTCGTCTGTTAGGAAGGAGGAATGGGAGACACAAAAGAATAAAAATGAGTCCAAATAATAAAATTTGCCAAAATGTGGCCAAGGTTCTGTTTCCAAAATTACAACCAGTGGAGTACAATCATAAGAATGCATTCTGTTGCTGTTCAACTGAGCCTCTGTGAACATACGTGAGGCGACAGTCATGAGGTGGGCTGTGTACATCACAGTGCCGGAGCTCTCGGGAGTCCTTCCTTACGTACAGTCTCCTGGACCCTACATTGTCCTCTGAGCTAAGCAAAGTTGGCCGATTCTCATTAAGATCTGCCGGTGGCATTTCAAAACTCTCCAGTCCTCGTTGGCTCTCCTAGGAGGCAATGTTTCTGTCCTTACAGCGAGGTTACTTGTGTTTTCTCTTTCACTGTGTTTCTGAGATATTGTGTAACTCAGATGCCTTAGCCAGCTCCGCTGTGAATGAAAACGGGGTTACTAGCAGGGTCTTTGCTTCATCTCCCAAGTGGGGTTGCAGAAGATCGTCTAACTGGATTCAGCAACTAGCTGGTAGAGCTGACCTTGTGGTTCACAAGAACCAGCTGAAATATTGACACCTAACAAGGGTGAGGAAAACAGAAGCCTGCCGAGCACTTTATCCTTACTCTAACTCATTTAAAAGCCCGTCAGTCTGTTGGCCATGATCATAGTAACTACTTACTGTTGATACATTCTAATTCCTAGAAAAGCCTGTAACACACGAGGACTGGGGACAGAGCTCACTTGGTAAAGTGCTTGCTTACCAACACAAGGACCTCAGTTAGATCCCCAGAGCTCACATAAAAAAAATTTAAAAATCCAGGCGTAGTTGAATTCCCATGTAGTCACAGTGATGATAAGGTAGAGACAGAAGATTACAAATATCAGTGCTGACCTCAAAAAAAAAAAATCTTCAAGGAACAAAGTAAGAATTATCTCAAAGAGAAAATAAAATTGATCTTCAGAGCCTTCTCTAGGACACATCAGATGACCAAGAGGTTTAAATAATTAATGATTCATTAATGAGAAGTCACTCTGTGTGATACAGATGCCTGCAATCAGGGACACATTAGCCACCTGCGGGCTCTGCACACCTGAATGGGTGTTTTGTTTTTGCTGTTGTTGCTGTTGTTGTGCAGTTATAATTTTTGCCCATATTTAAAAACTAGACCAATTAATTCACTTTTTAAAAAATCGAGTTATTCATTCCTCTCTAAAGAGAGGCAGCAATGAGGCCCCCTCCTCACACTGTAGGTCCAGTGCGGCAGAGCTTGATGTACCAGTGACCTCTTCCTACCCTGAGAGCATCTAGACAGGTGTCTCCACTCCTGGAAAAGACCAGCTCCAGATCCTAAATTCATCTTCATCCACCTTTGACGAAAATTCTGTAATTCTTAAAACACAAACAGAATGCTCAGTGGTGTTTGAAACTGGAGCAGAAATGACAAAGAATAGGATAAAATAATTTTTCTTTTACAATGAACCGATTGCACCGAGGGCCACATATAGGAAATTAATAGGTGAAGGCCCCATCCCCTACCCCAGCTGATAATGACTTTGCTGACCTTTCTGTCCTGCCAACATCTTTAAGAGTGGTAATATGCATAATTCCACTCCACTTGACTTCTAGGACTCTCTTGCTTCTAAAGGTTTCAGGAGCTCTTATTCACAGACTCAAGGTCGGCTGCATCTGTGCTTGGCACAGCTTCGCGCCTTTTGGGTTCTTGTTAATCAGCCTGCAACTGCGTGAATTTGAATGGCTAGTCCTTGTTGAAAAAAAAATTTGCAAATCAAGTTTTTAAAATGTTACCACAGGAGCTTGCCCTTTACTAGAAAAATATAAGCATGAGCTAATTCCTAAAATATGGATTTTTTAAAATCATAGAAAATTAAAATATGACTTAATTTGAGTGGTTTAATACATTTGGTAATATTTTGAAAGTGTTTTAATTTTAAGTAGAGCAAGTCTTAAGTTCAAGGGTCTGCCTCTGTCTGGCTGCAGTCTGCATTTTATTTTGCATGATATATCATAATCTCATATTGGGCAAGTATGCCACTTACACTGCCTTATTTATAGTATTTCGAATTTTTGTCACGTAACCTCCCTATTTCCCTATTTAAATAATTTTCATCTGGTCACTACACAATAATGTGGCCCAAACAGTCATATAAAAGTGATTATTTTTTTTTCTTAAAACAGTATGATAATGTCAGCTCAAAGATACATACTGTTGTTCTAATACTAAAGTTGCATCCACACAAAGACAGGCTTATAAAAAAGGTTGAGTGAGCATGTACTGGTACCCACAATTAATAAAGTCTAAACTTGGGGTCATGTTGACTAGCGTGCGTCTAGAGGCCTCCTTACAAGCCTAGTCCTGGAAATGGCCACATCTGGACGATAGCCCCTGCCTCAGCCACGACTCCCTTCAGGAGTCTTCCAACAGTGTCATTCTTGACACCACGGAAGCAGAGATCTAAAACCTGTTCCCAATTCTGCTGACTCGCTAACAGGGTCTCAGATCTCACTTTGAACTAAATGTTCCTGGTGGCCTCCCAAACAGAAAGACTGCAAGCTTTTGTTCCCACAATCAGTTTAACTTTGCCTGACCACTGCCTGTCCCTGTATTTGAGCTCCTAGAGTCTACCAAGGAAGCTTCTACTTTCTAAGGAGTCTTAAAAGTAACACTTTGCATAGGTCCTTCACCTCCTACATCTGTGTCCTTTCTGGTATAGCCGAAAGATCCCAGAGGAGACTGCTGGGACACACTGATGTCAGCTGTGGCCAAGACTGGGGAAGGAAAGAAAGACGTCGTGTCTGCATGGTGTATCCCCCGTTATCGTCTGGTCCACAAGTGTTTATTCTTGTCAGGCGGTTTCACAGTTTCCATGTGTGTTTACGAGGGGCCATCCACAAGAAGGTTGCCCAAATCACCAAAGTCAGGTTCAAAAAACAACAACTACCCCCCTGAAATGTACATCCTGAGAACAATGAAGAGAAAAATCCAAAGGGTGGTTTCTACTACTGGTAACCCATGGCATCGATGGTGCTGGTGCATGCTGTTGTCCAAGGAAACAGACGTGTCCAGACTATCTACATACTATCTACATACTATCTACATAGCCTAGAAGTCCCCTTCCCAAATATTCCGGAGGAAAACTGTCTTTAACAAGACATTATAATAAGTCACCAATACGGATTCTATGCATTCCTGCCTTGTTCTTACGGGCAAATACATTAAGCTCCACCCCATTAGCAAAGCTGTATATATGTCTCTCTCTGGAGTTCCCCCAAGTCTTCTGGGGCTTTATGAGCCCTACTCAGGTACCTACCTGCCTTGCTCTGACCTGGTGATTTGGTAATTTGGTAGCTGTTTTGAAGCCTTTTGTTACCCACGCCTGTTGACTGATCCATCGTTCTCTGACTAGGTGTCTGTTCTCTCTTCCTTTTTGCTGACCACAGAGGCGCAGTCCGGTAAGAACTCTCAGTATTTTAAACCTTAAACACATGTAGAGAAAGGGAGGTAGCAAGGCTGGTTTCCCATTACCGTGATCATCAGTCACCCAGTATCCAAGCAGCAGTTGAACTGGTTTCACTGGTCGGAAGCTTCTATCTAAACAGGAAGGCATAGCTTGGAATTATCAGAGCATTTCTCTGTCGCTGAATTAATGCTGCATAGTGTGTATCTGTCATATGACAAAGGGGGTTGTGTGTGTGTCCAAGGACCAAAGTGCGGTTAACACAAAGTTAACAGCAAAGTGATGATGGTGTTGATGATGGTGATGATGATGATGAAGAGGAGGAGGAGGAGAAATGCCTTCAGGAATAATAATAATTAACAATAATAATAATGTAGAGTTAGAGAGATGGCTCAATGGTTAAGAGCACATAAAGAACTTGAGTTAGGGTCCCAAAACACACACTGGGCAGCTCATAGCTTCCTTTAGCTCCAACCCCAAGAAATCTGCCCTTTTCTTGACGCTGCAGGTACCTAAACTCACATACACAAACCCGCAGAGACACGCAAACATAATTTTAAAATAAGGTAATAAGTTTAAGATAATAAAATGATATAAATGTAGATATTAATGAAACTGAAGAGAGGTATTTTTAAACAACAGCACTTTTAAGCCCAAATTCAAAATACACCCTTGTTCCATAACTTACATTGGTCAGTACACACTGATTCATCCTCAAAATTCACCTGAGAAAGGGAGGGGCACTCTCAGGCTGTTCCATCGTTCTAAATCCTGTCGCTTTAGACAGCTTTGACAAGCTATTCATCCTGGTAGTCCACATTCTCCAAAGGGAATTGGTTTCCTCGGGTCAGAGAATCTGAGGAATTTCAAGTGTTACAGAAGTCTCTTGGCTGTTTGGATAATGGCATCTACCTAATCAGTCCCTTCGAGAGGGTATGGCTGCCGTGCTGGTGTGTGCCTTTAATCCGCGCACTAGGGAGAGTCTAAGGCAGGAGAGAGAGAGAGAGAGAGAGAGAGAGAGAGAGAGAGCGCGCACAAAGCTCTTTGAAATGTTTCTAAGCTTGTGCCAATCAATAATCATTACCACTTGAGGCCAATACCACCCCACCCAAGCGACAAGCTGCTGATTTTCTATTTAAACTGGGAGATAACCTCTCCAGAGACGGCCAACCAGAGTATGATGATTCTGACCCAACTGTCAGGTGATTTCTCAGATTGTGACAACTCATGAGGAACAAATGCATTAATTCAAAATGACAAATAATTCACTACTCTATATATGTGCATGCATATATGTGTATACATATATATATGCATGTATGTACACACACACACACACATATATATATATATATATATATATATATGTATTCAGCAATAATTAATGGAATGAAAACAAGGTCACTTGAGGCTTCAAATAATGGGCTTCCTTCCTGGATGTGGGCCCTGTAGTGACAGCACCTCAGCCCCACTTGTCATGTTGCAGCCTCAGGTCCTCAAGGGCTGGGCTACACACTCAGCTGACAAGGAGAGCCTCTTTCCTGTTGGGCTGGCTTGTTACTGTGGGCCGCTTGAATCTATTCCTTTGTGATTGTTTTGCTCTTTCCCATTTCCAAGCAAAGCAAGTTTTCCTGTCTGGCTTGCACTTACCTCACCCATTCCTGAGGTATATGTGATACTGCTACAGGGACTTCCTTGCTGCCTTCCGGTGATAACTGTGTGTGGAAGGAAGGGACACGTGTGGTACTTGGCGGATACCGAAGAGGTGTTCTCGCTTCCTCGGATATTATGATTTTAGTAAAGTGAGCAGTGTAACTAGGTCTAAAGGGCTTCGATTTAGGCTCTGGTGTCTTCTGTCTGCTCCATTTGCAGTTCTCACAGTTCAAAGTGGAGCCCTGTTCCCTCAATCAGCTCATGAATCTTGGAATCCAGTAGTTGCTTGCATCCCTGTGTCTCTTCCTGCATGCCTTAAAATAGTTCTCATGACTGAGAGCCCACAGCCCAGGAAAACATTTCATCTCTGCTTTAACAAGCCGTTCTCTGTCATCTGTCTATATATCTCCTATACCCAAACTCCCACAATGAGCGAAGCAGATTGGAGTCAGCGTATTTATTTCATTACTAATAATGTGATCATTCTCTATCCGGCACATAGGGTAAGAACAAACAAATTGCCTTTTTCCAGGCAAAACAAGCTAGAAGATGTACTCTGTGCAACTAAAGCCACCCACCAAGAAACATCTGCCAGGGCTGCTCTGGCTCACACTGTTCCTCTCTCATAAATGGATTCAAACTGGGGCTGAAAAAATTCTCACTTGCCAGTTCTAGGAAAGATGAAGTACAGCCCATCAGTCTTCTGCGGATTACTAGACCACGCCCTGCACTGTTAGCATTACTATGGCGAGAACACAGCACAGCAGCTGTCCTGCCCCACAGTGAGAAAGGGTGGCACTGAGTGCCTCTTGGACCCCTTCCTTGTACTACTGCCCCCCCACACTTTCAACTAAGACAAGCCATGCCCTGCCTCATGATGCCACCCTCCTGGCTTCTTGCTTTTCTAGAAGAGTTCATGCTCAGAACCTTCCACAGCTTCTGACTTTCAGTTACAACTTTTGAGTTGCTTTTCCTATTATCTGAGTAAGTTTGTACCAAGAAAGATGCCAGCCCTAGAAGTGACCTGCATAGATCATTCCTGCCAGGGCTGTTTGCATTCTTCCAGAGGCCTTGCAGAGAAGAGATGACTTCTCATGGGCAACCTGGTGTCAGCAGGGGGGAGAAACCAAAGGGGAAGAGGGGAAGGGAGGCTGGAGCCTCTGGGATCCCTGTGTAAATGTTCCTGTAGGTAGGACATGAGGAGATATCAACACTCCCCACTTACACCCTTTAAATCCTATCTGTTCTGCTGACTGTTTCTGCCAACCATTTCAGGATCCCATCTGACTAGGGGCAGACAGTACTCACACATTCGAAAATTTTCAAATACCAAACATTTACTAGGTGTGGATTCTTACATACTAAATAGAGTTCAAGAGGGTCCTAGTTGTAAGAGATCAATCTGTGTCCTTACTAAAGCCACCCAGGTAAGGGGCTTGCTCATTCCGGTGACTCACCTTCTTCTCCATCACCTTGGAGGAGCATGAGAAGCTAATGTGTGTGTGTCCACCTCCAGGTTCCAGCTTCAATGTGGTTCTGAGTCAAATTTCCTTTTCCCAATCTGGGGTGTCATTGAGTTCAGTTTAATTGAAATGACAGAGATAATACATAATGTGCATAACATATCTGTGGTCTTAAGCCTTATAGTGTTTATTTCTAATTCTAGGGTGCAATTAAAAGGAACTTATCCAGTAAGTATATCTTAGCTCCCAGCCATAGAGTATGGTTTGACAGAAGGAAGCGTTCCTTGGATCTTGGAACATATTTGCATTCAAATTGCACAGTCTGGGGGTTTATTTGTAAGGCCTTCGAAAGAAAACATTTACAGCAAAGATTTCTTATTGTGATGGAGGGTATCGGTTCTGAATAATTAATGCTTAAATCCTCCAAACCAATCTATTTTTAGAAAAGCACCAGTGCTTTCTTCCTGTGTTTGTCAGCTCTTGCTGTATCTTTAAGCTTAGAAGTTAATGTAATCAAATGCGTTTGATGAGACGCACTGTAGCTAGAGGTGGGGAGAGAGGAGGCATGTCCTGGAGGAACTAAAGGCAGAGACAAATTACCCATTCTTACATTATTGGATATATAATGCTCAGCCCACCGAAGTAATATGACATAGGTGATCATATATAGGGCCTGATGCCCCTCCTGCCACATAAACTGTATCCTAGGAAAATCTAAATTCCTAAAGTTGCACCATTTTCTTGCCATTTCAAGAAAGGGGGGGGGTCATGCTGACAGCTGGGTCGGTATACTATGGGCATATGGCCTGGATTATTATCCCCCATGGTAACTGAGAACCAGAACTCATTCAGGCAATGGACATTTGAAGAAAGGTAGGCTGTTCCTCTGAACTCTACAGTATACAAATCTTCCGTTGTTGGCTTGTTTATGGTTTTTCTTTGGGTAATGAGGTTTTACAAATGCCAGAGAAATCCTGCCACAGATGACAGCTATATGACTGTCGCACTGCCAGGGGAGAGGGTTTGTTTTGAAGTTTTCACATTAAGTTGCTTATCGATGAGGCTTAAATCTCTAAGTGTTTCCACACATAGTTCATGTGTCACCCCAGAAGGGACTGGTAAAGATATGCCTACAAAGGTCTTTTGTCCTGTGTGTCAGGTGAAGAAGTCGCAAGACCCAGGCGTTCCACCCCAACTCCAGAACTTACAAGGTGAGCATGGAAGATGCCGGTTGCTTTTTACTCATCGTGAACTCTTATCTATTCAGCAAATATCCTCCAGGCCTCAGTGGATGAAGGGCCTAACATGTGTGTGAGTTCATCTATCTACAGCATAGGCCAAATCTGCTGTCCCTTCTCACACATGCTGCTCAAAGGGGAACGTTGGGTAAACACCTACATTTGTCTATGGCAGAATGTGTGCTTTACTTACTCATGGATCTAGAGTTATGTATGAAGAGGCTTTCTGATTTCTGGAATGTTCAGCTGAGATACATCTTATTGCACTAAAAAAGAGAAGTCAGATAGTTGGATATACTTTCATGATACATTCCAACTTCCCAACCAAGGGACTTTCTGTTTTGTTCTTCCTCGCCCCCTCTGTCACAAACTGTTGCGTTTCACAGTGGCTTCTTTGAGTGTAGTATTGCACAAATAGTTGCTGTTTCCAAAAGTGGTAGTTCCATCTTTTTAAAATGTGGATTCTTTCTGTTTTCTCATCCTCCACCTGCTCCTGCCCTTTTCTCTCCAAGCCTCACCTGCATGACATGCACACAGAAAGCATCAGACTCCCGGGTGGGAGTCAGGTCTGGAAGGAATGGAAACAAAAACCAATAAAATAATAATGATCCATCTAGATATGTGGTCAGGAGGAAAGATGAGATACCTCAATACCCTTTAAGATACACTGGGTTGGGGCATCACTAGCTTATTAAGTAGGAAGGAGCAAGATAAAATTAGCAACTGAGCGTCCCAGCTACTTTTTTATTCCAACACAACTTCCTGGGCACCAGTTAAATAGCTCTGTGCTTGATTTTTGTTGAACTGCATTAATTACAACAAGAAATATGGTGAAGTCTTGTTTGGGTTTCTATCCCTATGATAAAATACCAAGACCAAACACAACTCAAGGAGGAAAAGGTTTTTAAGTCTCAGGTCACGGTCTACCATCATAGGAAGTCAAGACAGGAACCTGGAGGTAGGAACCTGGAGGCAGGAACTGAAGCAGAAGCCATGGAGAGTGCTGCTCCCTGCTTACTCCTCGTGACTCACTCAGCCTGCTTCCTTACTGGACATAAGACCACCAGTCTAGGGATGGAACCTTCCACAATGGTCTGGGCCCTCACATCAATCGTCAAGAAAATGCTCCCAACACACTTGCCTTCAGGTCAATCTTACACAGACATTTTCTCAACTAAGATTCTTTCTTCCCAGATGACCCCAGCATCTGTCAAGTTGACATAAAAACTAGCCAGCACAGGTAATGACAAGTATAGATTTTTAGGCCAGGCATGTTGGCACACACCTGTAGACCCAGCACACAGGGGGCAAAGGCACAAGGATCATGAATTTTAAGATAGCCAGGGTTTTATAAGAAGCTGTCTCAAAACCATAAAAAGTAAATATGTGTAGTTTTTTGAGTTTGTGTGACAGAAAGGTACCTTGTAATAAACTGCCATCTCTAATATGTCACTTCTGTGTGTAGAGAGACTTACCATTGTGTTTCTGTTGGAACTGCACCTAGGCCTCTGTTAGACCTCAAGGTCTTGTCTCCTGCCATGAGCCTTTTCACATGGCATCTCCATGTGATCCCTTCTAAGCCCAACAGAAGCCTTGCACACATGTGTGTTTGGCTAAGTACACAAGTGCATATGCGTATTTAACCGAGGAAAGTATTTGAAAGTTTGTGTATGGTTTCGAGCATCCATTTTTGATCCTTCTCTCTATATATCTGCCTAAATGCATGTTTTAGCAAGAAGCCTCCAGATGACACGCTGGCCCTCGCTCCTCTCTTTGGTCCACCGTTAGAATCAGCTTTCGATGAGCAGAAGACAGAAGGTAGGGAACTCTATGTCTACAACATGGCTTTGAAGTTACTTCTGTCAAGTGAATGGCTGTAATTGTATCTTGGGAACATGAAGACAAAACACCCATGCACATTAAATAAAACGATTATTTTTTTAAATTTTTCTGGTTCTCTTAAAATGTTCAGCAAGCATCTTTAGAATAATCATTCCTCTCTGTGATGGAGTGAAGGGTTAAGAGATTGTACAATCTTTAAGAATAGGAACCACAGCACAGAATCCAGACATTTCCAGAACTGAAGCATATGGATAGAAGTCTTTAAATATACTGACGAACAACAAAACACGTTCATAAAGTAATTCCTAAAATGTCTGAATGGTACAGAAATAGTGACAGTATGTATAGTGGCATCCAGAGTGCCCTTAGGTAACCAACTAGGAAGAAAGCGTGGGCTCGCCTTTAATTTAGATCCGTGTACATACACAGACACCCCTTTACATCCCCACACACCGTGCCTCTGGTTCTGTTCTCAGCACACTCCCAAATTAAACTGCTAGGGTGACACAAGGCATAGCCGTCATGTAGTGAAACTCAACTTTAAAGTTCTAAATTCCTGTTTAAACTTACACTGCAAAAAAATTTGTTTTTATGTTTCCAGTTCTTTTAGATCAACCTGAGATATGGGGTTCAGGCCAACCAGTTAACCCAAGCATGGAGTCTCCGAAGCTAGCAAGACCGTTTCCCACTGGAAGTAAGTTATGTGTCTGACTCATTTTACTCTCTGTCTGCACAGTACAATTTTAGGTAACTGTTAGAATGCCTGGATAGATAATGTTTGAATTTAAAAAGAGACATTATTATCCCACAGGCTAGATCAGGTGACCTAAGCTGGGGTTAAATAAAATGAAATCGTGTTGTTAGCTTTGAGGCAGCCCCTCTTCTGACATCTTACATGATCTTTTGTTTATCCATCCCTGTCGTATGACTATGTACAAGTCAGCAGAAGCTGAGCTGAAAGCACTGGGCAGCCACACAACACAAGTACTGAGCAAGTCTGGCTGGAACTCGGCTAGTCTTGTGAACGCCTGAGATTACACAGGACAGAAATGACCCAAAGACAGTAAAGATGACCTAGGAAGCAAGACAGGCTCTCTAGCAGAGAGACAGACACTGCAAGGACAAATGTGTGCAATGTTGCTGGTTTCAGCCAAGGCGACTGGAGAGGGTCCTAAAAGGCCTCGGAAATCCTTCGCCTCTGGTACATTGAACTAGCTGGGTTGATTAGGTTAGCCAAGCCAGTCACCCATGGATTTATGAAGTATCCATCTGTAGTCGCCCATAGCCAGAAGTGCATAGAAGGTACACCTCGGAGTACTAACAGGAGGAATGGATTTGAAGAGAAGGTATTTGGTGAGTGAAGGAGCATGAAGGGTCTTTTATTAAATAAACACTGTGACTCGCCAGCAAATGCTCTCTCCAGCCCAGCAACGCCAGGGCTTTGCTGTTGGTGTCTAAAACTGACAATGGTAATTAGCCCAACGGATTCAGAACCAAAGGCTCAAAGGCTATGTGTCGGGAATGTTGTCACTATAAGGTCATGTGATCCAGTCTTTGTAAAATTATTTTCGTCAAACACGGGGAGGGCACGTAAGAGTCAGCAGCTTTTCTTCAAGCTTTGAACTTGGAATGGCGTTACAGAAACAGTTTGAACCACAGAAGTTCCGAGCGCTTCTCCATGTGACTGAAATATAAAGTCAATAATAAGAGTAAATAAAAAGCGCCTCTTTTTTTGGACACCTTTCTATACAGATCTAAGCTATCCACATTATTCCTAGAAAATTCTTTCTATTAAGTGGCAAGAAAATAAATGAACGTCGTGTTTATGGAGATAGAGTTGGAACTTTCGGGCAAACTGTAGATGCTATGTGTCCTCTTAGCATAGATGAAGCTGCTGTTTAACTGCTGAACATCCTATAGTTATACTTGCTTTCTGGTTGTAGTGGAAATTCACCTTTTTAGTAAGTCCTCATGGTATTTTATTTATTTTATGATATCTAGTGGTTATCATCTCAACTTTTTTTTTACAGAGGTGATGAGTTAGAATCGAAACCTCTTATTGGTTCTGAACTTCAAAGGGAAGGGATCCACTTGGGGAATAGTTTTCAACAGCTCGTAGCTAAGATTAAGAACAATTTACGAGGCTGGAGAGATGAGTCAGTAGTTTAGAGCACTGGCTGCTCTTGGAGAGGACCTGGGATTGGTTTCCAGCACCCACATGGCAGCTCACCACCATCTGTAACTCCAGCTCCATAGCATTAGGAGACACCCTCCCGCCAATGTCATGGGTATTCGCATGTTGCACATACATGCAGGCAAACACTTATACACATAACATATAAAATAAAATTATTTTAAAGAATTACTTATCCATGAGTTTCAAGATAGGAAGGCATATTATTATATGTGTGAGTGTGTATGTGCATGTGCCTCTGTGTGTGTGTCTGTGTGTGTGTGTGTGTGTGAGAGAGAGAGAGAGAGAGAGAGATAGGAGTGGAGAGGTGAGGAACTTCAGGAAGACACTCTTTATGGGGTGTCCAGAGCTCGCTAGCCTTGGGCCCACCTGGCTCATTCTGATTTTAGGCTATGAAATATGGGTTCGCACTCAGGTTCACAGTGAGGGAGGACTTAAGACAACTGTGTGAACTCTTGAATCTACCAGACATGGCAGGTGAGAAAATAACATACATTTAAAGAAAACATAGAATTTATTTATTGGAATAGTAATTCCAAATTTCCTCAATAAAATGAAAACCCCTATTCATAAGAACAAATTTTTGGGCAGAGAACAAAATACTTTTTATCTTAGGATTTTATTTTCTAAGAATGTTTCTCAGGAATGTTTATTCTTTAACCCATCACTTCACTTCTGACATCCTAAGACGTTCTGTCTTAGGGTTTCTATTGCTGTGAAGAGACACCTTGACCACAGCAACTCTTGAAAACAAAAGCATTTCATTAATGTGGTGGCTTACAGTGACAGAGGTTTAGTCCATTATCATTGTGGCGGGAAGTGTGGCAGCTGAAAGGATGGTGGCATGCAGGCAGACATGGTGTTAAAAAAAAAAAACCTCTACATCTTAATCCAAAGGCAACAGGAAGTTGACTGAGATCCTGGGCCACTGGGCATATCTTGAAAATAGGAGACCTCAAAGCCTGCCCCCACAGTGACACACTTCCTCCAACAAGGCCACACCTACTCTAATGAAGCCACACCTCCCAGTAATGCTATTCCCCACGAGATTGTGGGGTGGCCAATTACATTCAACTACCACACATGCTGTGGATTTAAAAGCATAGTGTTGCAAAATCTGTCCAGATACAGTATAGGCAACATCATCCAGACTAGTTTTAAAACCCCTTCCTGTATCCCTCTCAGGACCATTGCTGTTTTCATGGTCACACCCTGGACTGGAGCTATGTTAGCAGGATTCATGATCAGCCACTGTTCCTCCAGAACACAGCCAATGTTTTCTCAACACGGTACCCTTGCTCCTAGTAAAAGAACTGAACTTAGCTGTGGCTTGATGTTTGTTGGATAAATAAAATGTTGATTTTATTGCTATCTGACCTTTTGTGAAACTCCTACGGTCATAAGATGGAGGAATCTGAAGGCTTCTGTCTCTTGGAGTCCTAGTTAGAGTTGTCTTTGCTGTGATGAAACACTATGACCACAGACAATTTGGGGTCCAAAGGGTTTATTTGGCTTACATGCCACAGTCCATTGAGAGAAGCCAAGACAAGAATTCAAGCAGAGCAGGAACCTAGAGGCAGGAGCTGATGTAGACACCATGAAGGAGTACTGCTTGCTGGCTTGCTTCACATGCCTTGCTCAGCCTGCTTTCTTATAGCACCAAGGAATACCAGCTCAGGGTGGCCCCACCCAAAATGGACTGGGCTGTCATACGTCAATCGCTAATTTTGAAAATGCTCTACAGGCTTGCCTGTAGTCTATCTTACAGAAACATTTTCTCAAATGACTTCCTTCCTGTTCAGTGTCTCTAGCTTGTATCAAGTTGACATAAAATTAGCCAGCACACTTGGTGGTGCAATTTTTAAAATGTAGCCCACAACCAAGACTAGATGTGTGAATAAAAGCCCAAGTCATGCTTCTTTTCCTTTTGTTGTATAATTCAGGAAGAATACGATCACTGACACTATTGCTTCTCTCTTTGCAGCGCCCCCACCTCTGCCTCCAAAATCTGTACCAGCCACCCCACCTCGAACAGGCTCCCCCTTAACAGTGGCAACAGGTAAACTAGGTTTTTACAGTTCTGAGATGGTGTGGCAAACAGATCCATGGCCTTGGACGAAAGCATGCCCTTGATGCATTGGGAAACGTAGGCTGTGCTGAGATGCACAGTGCTCGTGTTGGGTTTCAATGTCACAGCCACTTACTGTGCTGACTTGCCGTCAGGTACACTCCCAGGTGTCACAGAGACGTATAGTTTTTTAAAAAATGTAATTTTATATGATGGGGGCTGCACTGATTATAAAGTAGCCACAAAATGAAAAGTCAACTATTTATTCAATCCCTCACTTTGTGGGCTCTCGTTTGAATGACTTGAAAATGAGTAGTCTCGAAGTACAGCTCATATCTTTCAAGAGCCAGTAGGCTGTCTGTAGAACTGAGATTGATTGCTTAGGGCATATAAACTTAAGTAGGTTCCAGAATGAGCAGTAACCTGTTGGGGGGATTATTTCCCCCAGCAGTCATTCAAATACTTAATCAATTCACTGCAAAGGCTGGGGTGATAATTATAAAATATGGCAAGGAGTTGCTGTAAACTATTTTAAGCCTATCATTTCGGACACACAGCTTTTCCTTTCTATTACAATCAATACTATACATTCATGCCATTTATAATCTGCCAGGTCTTAATGGACAAGCAATTCAAAGTGGTCATAGTGATGTTTTTTAAAACCTGAGTCCTAGAATGTGGCTCTTCATCACCTTTGGAACCTTGTGGCAGCTTTAGGCCTGGCTGTTTCTGCTGCCTACTGAGGTTGACAGAGGCAGAACGGGGTATTTACCAGAAAAACAGAAAGTTAGGCCCAGTCATTTATGAAATCTATACTGACTCAAGCCCAACAGAGGGTCATTGAAAGCATCATTGATAAGGCATTTGCAGGCTCAGTTGTTTGGAGACCCTGCACCGCCATGAATTATATTAGCTGCAAGGAAATCTATAAGCAACAAAATCATAAATTGTTGTCAGCCCTGCAAAAAGCTGCCCCATTTCTCTGTGGCCTTTCCACCTTGGAAATGAACTCCTTTCCAATCAGAACTATGGAAATATCAAGCCATTTTTTATAGCCACTTACAAGTAAGGTGAGGTGTGGGTGTGCCCTCCAGATATTTAGGTAGCAGTTCATAATTTGAATAACCTGATTGTTGCTTTAAAACCAAAAAGGACCATTTTACAAATCATAATTATCAAATATTTTATACTTCACTGAAGGACACAGTTTTTTTAATTTTCTTATTATTGATATGTGTAGAAAAGAATTCACTGCTGATTTAAGCAAAACAAAATTTTCTGTATCATGCTTCAGAAACACATTGCAGTGGCTACTAGTGCATCAACAATCTCTGCTTTGTGAGAAAAGAAACTCTAAAGATGCTTTCATGATTTCCCTCCCGTTACACAGGTATCCACGTCACATGCCTAAACAGTAGCAAATGCCTTGCTGTGTCCCCTGTGTGCGTTGTGTATGGAGTGTGCTGTGTTTGTATACATTTATGTGGGGTTATCTTCTTAATAATCTTTTTGTGTTTCTGGTGTATTTAGAGTAAATCTATAGCTAAATGTGATGTCCTTTTTTTTTTTTTTCCTATTTTCAATTACCAGAGACTGTCACTAGTTTTACCAAGCTTTCTGTTTGACATCCTAGACTGGAGAGGCTCTGTAAAGATGGGACTGACTTTCAGGGCTCCGGTCTCGGGCTGTGTTTTGTGTATTCAGCAGCCCAGGTTTTCAGGAACGCCCTCCCTTCTTCCAGAGTCTAAAGTGACCCTGATACTCCCATTTCAAAATGATCGCTGCTGCTCCACTTGAGAGCAGAACTGTGCTCAGATTTTTAAACAAGAGTGAGATGCACTACCGCAGTCTCCTTCCATGGGAGTAACGCTAGCCTAGACATATGAGTTGCTTATTGAAGTGAGTCCCTACCCTCTCCCTCCAGTGCTTAGCTCTGTAAAGGTCTTTCCGCATCATGAAGAATGCCCACTGAGGCACGTTACACGGTACAGTATGCCTGCTAAGCTTCGCCTCCACCCTCCAGCCCGATACAAGCAACAGTAAGAGTTAATAAAAATTTAAAATCAACTACTTTAACCACAGGAAATGACCAGGCAGCCACAGAGGCCAAAATTGAGAAACTACCGTCCATCAGTGACCTGGACAGCATTTTTGGTCCGGTGCTGTCCCCCAAGTCCGTTGCCGTTAACACTGAAGAGAAGTGGGTCCATTTCTCTGATGCATCCCCGGAACATGTTACTCCAGAGTTGACTCCAAGGGAAAAGGCGGTGACCCCACCAGCCGCATCAGACATCCCAGCTGACTCCCCAGCTCCAGGCCCACCCGGCCCCCCAGGCTCCGCAGGTCCCCCAGGGCCTCCTGGTCCTCGCAATGTACCATCTCCGCTCAATTTAGAAGAAGTCCAGAAGAAAGTCGCTGATCAGACCTTCATTAAAGATGATTACTTAGAAACGCTCTCCTCTCCTAAAGAGTGCGGGTTGGGACAGAGAGCAACTCCACCTCCCCCACCACCACCCACCTACAGGACTGTGGTTTCGTCCCCCGGACCTGGCTCAGGCAGTGGTACGGGGACCACCAGTGGTATGTCTCACTGTTCGAGTGTGCTTGGTGTGCTGGGGAATGGCCGTGGCTGCTGCGCTGTGAGCAACACCCTCCTCCTGCCTGGCAACTGGCTGTAGGGCTTCCGCCATTCCTCCTCTGGTCTGGTGTCCTGTGGCCCTGTGGCATGTTCTAGTCCATTGAATGCTCCAGTCATAGTCCAAGTGTGTGGATGTGTCTTGTCCTGCACTCCCAGCCCTAGAAGTGCCCTGACTTGTCCCCTACAGTTAGGAGGTATAGGGGTGGGGCTCTTTGTTCCTTATAAAGAAAGCTGTGATGGCGTTGTCTAGAATTCCGGAAAGTTCTAGAAGGATAGATGTCACAGCAAGTAGATTACAGGTTAAAATGTCTGAATTCTTTCCTTCTCTTCCCCACCCCCTCCGAGATATCTCACCAGGGCCCTATGGTTTATATGTCAAAGTGTGGAGGAGGATCCTGAGGTTTGAAAGGGAGCTAGTTGAGAACAACCATTGGATGGGTTATCATGCTTCTATTGTACCTGAGTCACCTGATCATGTGATAGGCAGTGGGACTTAGGATGCAAACGCTCCTGTTGAATTTTCTTCATCTTTATTTGAAGCTGCCTTTTGTGTTTTCTAATTATAGAAAGGTAGGAACACTTGCCACGCACGCCAAGGAACTACTAAGGTTTTTCCAAACCCTTTACTCCACCTTTGCCCAGTCACCTGGTCGGAGGCTCCGTGTCCTTCTCCTCCGCATGCAGGTTCAGTCTCAGCATCTTCCAGGAGGTCGTGAGTGCTGCTTTGATAGCTGCTTGGAAAGAGGCCACCGAGTTTGAGGGACTTAGATCTAGAAAGTCACCGAGGAGAAAGGCATTTGCCTCCACTCTAACCCTGTCGCTGCTACCTCTTGACGGAGTGGCTTCCAAAGCTTGCACTATGTAGGCAAATGTACCTGGGGTTTGTAAAGGGAGCGATCCTGATGACATCAGCTCGGGCTGGGTCAACTGTGTGCTTAGCCCAGCGGCCCTACGAAGGAAAACAATCAATACTTAAGTTTGGGGAGCAGAGCAGTAAACAGAACCAGCCAGCGTCTTTGCCATAAGAACCATGAGAGGTTTCACTTTCCAATAATAGAACAACTAAATACATTACTTCAGCCTTGCAGCAGCCAGCTGTCTTCAGTACTAAAGGGTCCCCGTTTTACAGAGGAAAAGAACTGTTCAGACAGTTAGCAGTTGCAGACTTAACATTTAAACACTCAGATTGCATCCTGCCCTGAGCTGTACTTCTGACCGCTATGTCCTTCAGGTACTTCTGCAAAGTTTGGTCACAAAACAGACTGGACTCACCTTACTACTGACGTCCACCTGTATACTACACAGTGCCGGGCACTCTCCAGAGTGGTCTTAAAAAGACCCATCTCTGCTTCTCTCTCCAGTCCTAGAAGGCTAAAGCGGCTGCTCCCATACAATGTAACCCTGTAAGGTCCTGTCTGGGATACAAAGCTGTGTGCTTACCTAGAAAGAGAGTAAGCAACCTCTGGCAGCACCCCTGAAGATGCTAGCTGCCAGTTTAAAAGAAGGGTGTGCCTCCATCATTTTCTGATGTGCTCTCTCATTCCTGGGCTAGGTTCTTAGGGTTCTGGAAGGGCATTTCAAGAGGTTGTCACCAGCAGCCTGTGGTGGGCCATCATGCACTTCTCAAAGCAGACGCCCACAGCCAGGGAAAATAGGGTGCCTTTGATCTTCACCTGTGTTCTCCCCCGCCTGTCACCAGCCATATTTAAGTCAGCCAGCCACTGACCTGGTGAGGGATGGCCGCTCCTCTTTCTATTCGGGAATCTTTGAGAATCCGGTAACTATTTCAGTGTGTAGCTTTCGTGTCCTCATTTGAACCTGATTTTCAAGTGTCACCAACAGAGACGGTTCATTCTTATGAAGTAACCCACAGAAAGCTGCATTCAGCTGCATTGAGGGGTTAGATTTGTAAGTAGGAGACTGAATTTGACTAATGAAGCCCATGAATAAATAAAATTTTATACTATCATCCCCTGAATTAAGTCCCGGTTAATGTGTGACTTTATCTTGTCTTGGTGTCATATAGACAAACTGCCCCAAATGAAAATTTGGGATCTCAATTATAGGGATGTTTGAATTCTGCTCTTCATGAGTCTTGGCCTGGTATGGCCAGCTTTTCCTAGACATCTCAAAGCATGTGTGAACGTACCCACTGTATACCCAGCATGGGTGGCTGCTGCTGTGACGAGTGGCCCCACCCACAGCATGACTCAGAAGAGGTGCTTGCTGCTGAAACAGTGGGAACCTAAGAATTAATAACTCTGACTCCTATAAGCCTCAGCTAGAGCATGACTTCGCTGAAAGGCGGGCATTGGTTCTTGGTATCTGTGCAGAGTATGTGCCCGGGCACAGGAGAAACATCTTGCTAGCTTACAGCAAGTGTAGATTCCAGGGAAGGAGGAGAGTTAGGTTCAGAGTGACATGTTCCGGCTCAGGAAATTGACACATGACACACTTTTCAGCTATATTAAACAATACACACACACAATGACTTTGAACAACCTGGGCTTGTCTCTTGGTTAGAGCTACTGTAGCTATGATGAAACACCACAGCTAAAAGCAACTTGGTGAGGAGAGAGTTTATTTGGCTTACAGATCCTGAGGGAAGCCCAGTCAAGAACTCAAACAGGGCAGGAACCTGGAGGCAGGAACTGATGCAGAGACCATGGAGGAGGGCCACTCACTGGCTTACTCCTCATGGCTCGCTCAGTCTGCTTTCTTATAGGACATAGGACCACCGGCTCAGTGTGGTACCACCTACCGTGGGCTGGGCTGTCTCACATCAACTACAAATTAAGGGAAAGCTCTAAAGGCCTTCCTTCCTACAGCCCTATGAAGGCGTTTTCCCAATTGATGTCCCCTCCTCTCAGATGACTGTGTCTTGTGTCAAGTTTACATAAAAATAATCAGACGAGGTTGAAATGAGTAAATTGTTTGCTGACCTTACAGAAAGGGTAATTAGCTTCATCTGACAGACCAAAGACCAAAGCTCAAAGAGCTAACCTGGCCCTGGTCACAAACCTTCTGAGTAGCAGCAGCTAGATCCGCTGAAAATGTGTTGGATTCCATGTCCTGAAACTCTGCCATTTCCACTCCGCTGCCTCCACTGCCTGCAGCCCCATCCACAAACAGATACGCGGGAAGGGCCAGAGCCATTACGCTGCAGGCTGAGAGCGGTAAATAGGCCGAGAGCAAGCCCAGGTTGTCATTGCCTGGAGCTCACAATTTAAGCCTTAGACAGTGTGTTTCCTAGGGCATTTCACACCGTCCTTCCTGAGGGTAAAATGAAAGAATGACTGAAAATCAGAGAGAATAGGGATATATAAATATGACCTTGCAACCATTACACCTGAAACCAGTGGTCAATGTCACAAAAGCATGCGGAACATTGGTTCAGTTGTTAGATGCTCACCAGGCCCTGCACATCCCTGCTACACCTTGTGGTTCTGCCCACATTGATCAATAATCAATGTGTCTTTTAGTTTTTTTGGTTGGTTGGTTTTGGGGTTTTTTTCTGTTTGGTTGGTTGGTTGGTTGGTTTGGTTTGGGTTTTTGATTTTTTTGTTTTTGGTTTTTTGTTTGTTTGTTTGTTTGTTTTTGAGACAGAGTTTCTCTATGTAAAAGCCCTGGCTGTCCTGGAACTCACTCTGTAGACCAGACTGGCATCATACTCACAGAGATTCTCAGCCTTCCTCTGCCTCCCAAGTGCTGGGATTAAAGGCATGAGCCACCACCACCTGCCACCAACACTGGGCCATGTCTTTTAGTATCTATGCACCCCTTGACTATCTATCTACATAATCTATCACTTCCATTACTTTGATAAGAATAGTATAACATAAGAAAGGAGTCTATAAAGGAAAAGGAAAATAACTCACTCTTCAGCTAATAGCATGATTCTTTTACTTTTGACTGTACCTGCATCCCAAGGCAGCTGTTGGCACCCTCCTTGGTATCAATTGCTTTGTGTTATACAGCATCCTGGTGTTATGCAAATTCAGAAGCACGTTCAGTTTGGGTTGTTATCAGTACCTTTGTGTGGTAGCGCAGTCTAACTTTCTGAGACACAAATAGGAGTTTCAGAGAGGTCAAGTTCCCACTCACAGCTGAGAAAGGGGCATTGGGAGCAAAATTCAGTCTTTCACCCAGTCGTATTGCCCTGGAGACCGTCCTCAGTGCAAGCGTTACTGGAAGAGGGGTTTTGAATCTCTCTTCTAAAGCTGGTGTTTGCCTGAGCTCAATTCAGAGCATAATAGGTGCATGAGCGAACATTTTGGAACACTCCTACAGCAAGATAGTCCTGAAGCTGAATGGAGCACCCCTGTGACCGCTCCAAAAAAATCCCATGAAACTTTCCTGACAAAACTGAACTGTGTAATAATATATTTCCTATCTCTATATTTACATGTCTGTCTTCTAAAAGTATGCTGGGCATAACATCTACTTCATACTCCAAAGAATCTTTGTAGTGGGCCTGTCAATCATACTTTGTTTTTAAAAGAGAACCTTAACCAAATACTACGGACATTTAGATTACAAAAGACGTACACATGCTGGAATAAAAACAGATTGTATACAAGGTGTGGCAGTCCATAGTCTATCTGAAGCTTCAGGGGATGTATATGCTTTGGGCTTCGCAAACCATCTGTGCTCTGTGATCACAGACATGCCACTAAAAGAATGTCCATCTTCACTGAGGTTCAGACAGGGTCTACTCTCAAGACTAAGCATGAGGATGATGCCACACAGGGAAAGTACTAACATAGATCCTGGCTCAGTAAAACAATGTGAGAATAGAATGAAAGAAATACAGTTAGTTGGTACTAACAGAGGCAAGTGAGGGTATCAGGGAGGGGCAGTAACGGCGTCTTCACACTTAGGAGGTACAAACAGTGTCGGGATCCACTCAAGATTTCATTCTTTAAACAAGAGAAGCCAAGTGTGCCTTCAGAGACTCTCTTAAGATGATAAATGGTTCTGAGATGGGTTTTACCCTTCAGAGTCAAAGTTCTCTTGAGAATCTCAAAATCTGGACTAAAGTGCTGGTCTTGGACTCTAGTGGTCTCGATTTTGTGTTTTGGTGTGTAAAGAAAGTAGTTTGCGGGGTGGGGATGGCTGGGTATAAAGGCAGCTGGTAAGATGGGGGGTGTGGAGGTGGCAGGGTGTGCAGGAACTGGTAGGATGGGGAATGTGGAAGTGGGGACATGTGGGGATAGTGAGTAGGGGAGGGGGTGTTCAGAGGCAGCTGGAGGAGGGTTGTGGGGGCGGGGGGGGGGGGGGTTTCTGAAGTGTGATTTTTCCAGCCTGCTGTTTCTAAGCAAGTGAAAAAGGGCTGCCTGGACATGGATTTCGCCTCCTAAGGTTTGGGGCCAGGTAGTTATGCATCCCGGACTTATGACTGAAGACAGACAGGTCCCTGAGCACTGAGCTCAGTGTGCATGCCAGCCTCTGTGTACCATCTGTGTTCCATATGCTTGTCATGGGCAGCCAGAAAAGTAAATCCAAGGAGCTTTTGCAAAACCACCAAAGAGACCATCAGTAACAAACTCTACTTTAGCAGGCTCCCAAGGACACTCCTTTTGAAGCCCTTGCTGTGTTTCTGCCATAAAGACCCAACACGCAAAGGCCTCCTGGCCTATAGTGCTGGCCTTTGCTTACACTGCCTATTCGAGATAGGAACGAAGTCGGTACTCCTGGGTTGACATACAGTCAACAGCATTATTCCCTGTGTTTAAAAAATATTAACATAGAACAAGCATTCATCTTCCTTCAAGTTTTAACTTTCATCTCCATCTTGGACATAAATCCTGGACATAAATTCAAAATAAACAAACAAAATGTATTTAAGTCCCATGTGTACATTGTCAAAATGAACCACCCCTACTGCCCGGCCAAGAGTCCCCTGAATTCATCTTCCATCAAGGATTTACCTTTCATTGGATGTCACATGACAGCAAGGTGATAGCTTCAGCTTCTGCCATAAACCATAGTTCAGCTGAGTACCTTTTTTTCTTTATTGAAAGAAAAAGAAAACGCTCTGTGCAAATGGAGGCTTAGGTAAAGCCGCTGCAAAGAAAAAGAAAAATTCGCATCTGTGTCAGGCATTGCTTGGCGCTGACACATTCCAGACACCCGTGTTTCCCGCTGCCCCTAAGACCAGCCTGTTTTCCAGGTGCATCGTCTCCTGCGCGGCCAGCCACCCCCTTAGTTCCCTGCAGTACCACGCCACCTCCGCCTCCTCCTCGGCCTCCATCCCGGCCAAAGCTACCGCCAGGAAAACCTGGAGTCGGCGATGTGGTATGTCTCTCCCTGCCTTAGCACGCTCAGAATAAGATCCCCAAGTCCCCTAATATGGGCCATCTCGACTTCAGGTCTAAGTATCACAGCGCAAGTGACCATCACAGGGGCAGCTGAAAAAAAAAAAGTCGCTGTGATGTGAGGATGCCTTTCCACCTTCAGATTTCCCCCAGCTTTCAAGCTAACGTCTAAAAATGGTAGGAAGAAAAACTCTGGCTTCTGACCCCAGAAGCCAGATAAATCAGCAGCAGAGGGGCTGGAGAGATGGCTCAGAGGTTAAGAGCACTGATAGTTCTTTCAGAGGTCCTGAGTTCAATTCCCAGCAACCACATGGTGGTTCACAACCATCTGTAATAAAATCTGGTGCCCTCTTCTGGCCTGCAGGCATACATGCAGATAGAACACTGTATACAAAATAATTAAATAAATCTTTAAAAAAAAAATCAGCAGCAAAAATCCAGCGATACAAATACAGAGAGTGGTGACCTCCAAGTGGACTCCTAGTCCTTCCTTGAATTTTATTGTAAGATTGCGGTGTGGGAATAGTTTTCTCAGTGGGTCAATTCAGAGGCATGTAGCAGAAGTAAATCTCAGTGACCCTTGTTCAACGGCCACTGAATAAATGTCTTCATAACACTCAGGTTCTGTCTTGAAACCTCCCTGTGGAGGCAAACAACAGTGTCTTTCCTGGGAGGCGTGAAAATGACCGGTCTAAGCCGGAGTGCCTCCTGAGCCCACGAGCTGTGGTTTATGGCTGCTCTTACTCCAGCATACTGGCTGTGTTTTAAGTGCAGGCCAGTTCCAGGAAATGGTACCATGGCCATCAAGAACCTGAGGTTTCATATCCGGGGCTGAGGGCCAAGAAAGGTGAGGAAACCAAAGCTGGCGAGATGGCTCAGCCGTGTAGGCCCTTGCTACCAAAATCTGATTTCAACCTCTGTGGCCCATCTAGTAGAAAGCCATCATTTGACTCTCCTGTGCACTTCATGGCATGTACACACACGTACGCAAAGTAAATAAAATGTAATAGATGTTTGAAAATGCCGAACCAGCGCATCATGGCTGTGTCTAACCTTCATCTTTCTTCCCCCTGCAGGCCAGACCCTTTAGCCCACCCATCCACTCTTCCAGTCCTCCTCCGATAGCTCCCTTAGCCCGGGCTGAGAGCACCTCTTCAATATCGTCGACCAATTCCTTGAGCGCAGCTACCACTCCCACCGTTGGTAAAATGCTCTCTCTCTTTTGATGTGTCTGTGGCTGTTGACTGGCTACCCTTTACGATCTGAGCTTCCCGGCCCTGTTTCTAGTCATAACTGTGTCTGCTGTATGTTTGCTATGATCACCTGGTTCTTCTCTTGAAAGCACTTTCTCAGCTAAGGAGGCCACACTCTAGCCGTACAAAGTCACTGTCTCCAGAATGGGGAAACATGTGTGTCTTGTAGGGATCTTCTTATACTGTCCCATACAGTGTAAGAAGTCACCAAGGAAGGTGCTAATATTTGGATATTTCTTGTAACAAAAAGCATTCTCCTTTGAGAGAAAAATGTTTAGATCAGAAATATTTTTTAAAAAAAAAATGGGATGTTCAGTGTTTTGAAACTTTCAGTTTTTCATCAGTTTTGGTTGTCTGAGGTTGACAAATATAGGCACTGGCATTGAGATACGTGAGAATCTTTTTAACCTTTATTTTTCTAATGCTTTTCTATCCTATGTGGTCCATTTTGCCTGGAGGGGGAAAGAAGCCCTTTTCAGCAGATGCCCCTGTACCTCTCTGTGCACCCTGTGGTGAAAGTGCAGGGTCCAGAATGGCCACTCAGAGGGTGGCTCGCCACCATCACCTCCTCCCATCCTCAACCACTGCCTCTCTCTGTCCTTTACTGCATGCTGCCTGACCTGCAACGTCCCCGGCACACTTGCCCTGTATCACCTCAGGCCCCCATTCTCCCATGCTGTAAACCAGCTGGCCCATTCTGCACTGCTTGGGAGAATCAGTCACTCGGCTCCATCAGTTCTGGCTACCATTTGTGGAAGAGAGCACACCACAGAATCACCCACCTGAGAAGTAGCTTGAAAAAAATCCAAAAGCTCTCCTAGAAAACAATGGCCCATTTTATCCAGAACAAGAGAAGCTGTGCCTGTAAGAACCATAAAGGGAACTTTCTAGCTTTGTCATATATTCTATAATTTAAGCCAGGTCATCCTCCTCCTCCTCCTCCTCCTTCTTGTCTTGTTCTTCTTGTTCTTCTTCTTGTTCTTCTTGTTCTTGTTCTTCTTGTTGTTCTTCTTGTTCTTCTTGTTCTTCTTATTCTTCTTCTTCTTCTTCTTTTTCTTCTTTTCTCTCTCTCTCTCTCTCTCTCTCTCTCTCTCTCTCTCTCTCACACACACACACACACACACACACACCTTCAATTTGGGTTAAGTTAATAAACTGAAAATGTAGCCCCTTTCCCAATTTCATGTGATTTTTTTTTCTTTTGGTTTTTCAAGACAGTCACATGTACCTCCAGCTCATGTAACTTCTTAATAGACAGAGTTTTAACATTGCTGATATAGCCATTTCTGTTCTTTTTCTGTATTGATTAGAATAATTTGAGACTTCCTGGTTTTCAGTACATTTAATGTTAGCTCATTCCTCTCTGATTTTTTTTTGATGTTTCATAATAGCTAGCCCTTTTCACCCTCTGTCTCTTTAATCTCCTTGATTTGGGTAGTCACTTGTTCAAATTGTGTGCTAGTGTTAAGCTTTCTCAAGATCATTTATTCCACACACTCCGTTTGATTTGCTTTGTTGGATGAAGAAGGAGATGTGTAACTGGAGGTTTCTCTCCCACTAGCCAGTTCCCAAGTTAACCACTCTGAGGCTTAATATTAATTACAAACTGTTTGACCTATTAGCCAGGCTTATTAATGGCTAGCTCTTACAATTTAAATTAACCCATTTTTATTAATCTATATTTTACCACGAGGCTCGTGGCTTGTTACTTCACATATTGCTTCCCTGGTAGCTGCTGGCATCTCCCAAACTCTACCTTCTTTCCCCCTATATTTGTTTGGATTTTCCACCTGGCTCTATTCTTCCTGGCTATTGGCTAAATCAGCTTCTTTATTAACCAATGACAATAAAACATGCTTATAAGATACAGAAGGACATCTCACAGCAGGGCTGTCACTCAAAAAGTGACAACACCGTGCCTCAGATGGGCCATCCAGCACGTTCTTTCAGCTCGCTGTGACTCAAGGAGAAAACTGAACACACAGGGAACCTCCAATTACAACCAGAAACATTGAGCCTCATCATTCCTAGTGTGTGTTCTTTCAAGATGAACCACAGAGGACTTGAAAAAGATAGATCCCTATAGGAAGCTGATCATAATGCCTCCTGCAGAGGAGCACCCCCATCTGCTCCGTTAGATTCTGTTGCTTTGGTTTGGGCCACTGAAGCCCTCACCACCTGATCCTTATTCTGGTCTGCTTCTGGTCACATGACCACCATTTCTCTCTGAAGTCACTCTGCTTCTGCATGACCAGCCGGCCTTATGTGTTGTTGTCTCTGCTTTTCTCCAAATGCTCTGCCTTGCCTAAAATGGCAACTCACCGTAACCAAGTGGACTGGGGAAGGCTGGAAATTCCCAGCACGCTCTCTCCCACCTCCACAAGACTTTCTTGCCGTTTCCTGTGCCTTTTGTGTTGTTCTCGGAGCAATTCCATGGGAACTGATGAGCCAATCGCAAAGTCATACACGAACTAAAACTTTTAAAGCAAATCTGTGCCACATGTAGCAGCGCACCTCGTGAGGCCGAGGCAGGGTGGATCACAAGCTCCTGGGCTACATAGACCCTCTCTTCAAACATCAAATAACAGCAAGTCAAAACTCTCTACACAGTGATAAAGAACCTTAAGTATGAATAGCTTCACAAGAGTTGAGATTATAGAGAACCCAACACAGCATGAGAAAATAGAAATTTCTATGTATCCCTACCCTCAAATAATGAAGAGTTCTCATATAGCTATATACTTTTTTAACTTAAGAATTCCTCAAATATATTTTTTAACTTAAGAATTCCTCATTTTTTTTTAAAGAACGCCATGATTTTGTAGATGGCAAAGAAAGACGAAAGTTTCCACATACGTCAGGGTACACTTTTTTTTTCTTTTTCCCATCCTGACCGTGCTACCCTCTAATTCTAGAACGCTGAGAACATGAGAAGATGCACATCTAGAACAAAGGGAACAAACACAGTGACGGCTTTTGTGCTAGAGCATGCCCCCAGGACCTGCGCTGTGCAGTTCAGGGGAGGGAGAAATCTATCGCCACTAACGGAGCACAGAAAGTGCTTGAAGCCCTAAGAATCAGATGGGGGGTAGCAGAAGAGATAACGGGGGCCTTATCTCTCCTTGCAAGCCCCCACTTTACTACTTGCTTTGTATCTCAGTGGCCGTGAGAAGTCTCATGTTTCTTTGTTTATTTGTTTGTTTGGATGATGGCAAGGCAGGCGGTTTGGCTTCCCTGTTAGCTACAGTCCTTCCCTGGTGATTGTGCATCCTGATTTGCATCTTTCATGTGGCAGGAATCTGTAGCAAGTGAAAAGCAACCATCTTCAGGTAACAAAGTTAGTGTCAGATGGACATTAATGTTTCCTTCGGTCCATAGCTTGAGTCCAAGTGGCTCGTTCTAAAGCAGCGCAACATGCAATATTCCCTCCAATGTGGGTAGCAATTCTAAATTCTATTAACTTTCGGGGGGCGGGCAGATTATATGCATGCTATAATTTGTGAAAGGTCTGTATCTACTATGCCCATTCAATGGAACACTAAATTATTATTACTGAATTATTCCGCCTCCAAGAAAGCTGTAAGTACAGTTACATACTGACAAATAACATCCAGAACCTGGGGCTGGAGAGATGACTAAGTTGGTTAAGAGCACTGGCTGCATTTGATTCCCAGTATCGGCATGGCATCTGTAAACCTTGTTCCGGGGAATCCAGCACCCCTCTTCTGGCCTTTGAGGACACCAGCACGTGTGCACAAACATACATGGCAAGCAAAACACCCAATCATATGAAAATATATTGATTAACGAGTTGATTAATTTGTTTAGAAGTGCCTGTTGCTCCTCCAGAGGGCCCAAGTTTAGTAGTAAGCAAACTCAGTTCATCAGGTGCTGCATAACTATAATATCAACTCCAGGGAACCCAGTGCCCTCTTCCAGCACTGACATGCTCCCCCACAGTGCACAGACTCACACACATACACACTCATATGCATACTCATACATACACAGACAGACAGAAACACACACACACACACACTTTTTTCCTTCAATCTGAGAATATAAATAACTGAAAAAGGGAAGTTTCCCTGTCATATACCCTAAGCCTAGCCATCAGGTTGTTAGAATGACTTCCAAAGCATCTGTTTATGAAACATTTATTGGATCCTAAGTTCAGTCCTTAACTTCTTTACTATGAGGATAGGTTTCTCCAGCACTCATTTTATTTGATTATCTATTAATCTATTATCTATTAAGGTTGTAGAGCATTATTTTTTAATCACCCAGAGTAAAAAACAGTTTTATGTATTTGTTGTTTGGTGAGGAGACAGAGTAAAGATCAGAAATAGTTAAGGCTTGGTGTCTCTGCTCATAAAGCTGTGGCCCAGTTTCCAAAGATCAACATCTTAGCCACAGCTGGAGCCATGGTCAAAGATATTAGTATGATCCCACTGTTCAAGATCAGTGATCTTTCTCAAAGGCAGGTACAAGTTCGTTAAAATGACACCATGCCTGCGGGAACCCTGGATTTATACTGTTGTTTTGTGGACCGGTTAAAAGCTAACTCCTTTCTTCCTGGGGGAATATATATGCCGAGTGATCTCATTGAACTGTCATGGCTATGCTGGGGTTCGTGTTGATGGACATATGTCTGGCCTCTTGAGAACTGCATTGGAGTGAAGTATTCTCACATAAGAAAAGCTGAACCTTTCACGGTTCCCTAAGGAGGTGGGGGGGGGGGGTCTAACTCCTTCTCTGTAACTGATTCCCACCACACTGACAGATGCTAAACCCTGACTCTTTTTTTTTCATTTTGGTTCAGTTTCTCCTCATAGAATCACCTCAAATAAGCTCATCACTTCCCATATCTTCACCTGAGTCCCAGTGTCTTCAATCCTTTCCTTTTTTCCGTGAAAAATCATTTTCGCCTCGGTCAGTAAACTGTGCTTCTCGGCTTCATTTGGAATTTGTATGTGTGCTTTTGTTTTCCATGCGTTTACGTTTCTTTGGTTTGTAGTGTCGGAAGATGATGTTTTTTATGACAAACTGCCCTCGTTTGAAAGGCGCTGTGACACGCCTGCAGGTACGGTGCTAGCCGAGCGGTATCTAGATTCGTAGAGTTTTTCGAAATCCAAGCCATTTTCCATCTGAATGCTCGAAGCTTCACGGACATGCTCCTCACCTCATGAGTCCCTGTGCCTCTCAGATGCACTCAGGACATGTCCCGTCCATCGTGAGACTCATGCCCCTGAACCGATTTTAAGTGGACGTACTTATAAAGCAGCAGGTTGCATGACAGTTTCTCAGAGAAAAGGCTCCGAGCAGGTGAGAATGTCATTGCTGTGTGAAGTTCAGAGGGAGAAATCCTTTGAGGGCCCAGAATCTGTTGGCGGCTTTCTAATGTAAAACTTGCTGAAGCACCATTGGAAATCTTTCTTCTCTTTGGTACAGATGTAAAGGGTGTGTTGTGGCTGGACGCCTCAGGTGACGCCAGCAGGGGGATGGGAGATCACTGACGTCGTCTGTGAACTTTAAATTGATATGCAATGCCATGCTGTTGTCACTGAAAAGCTAAGCAAATGTTGCTTATAAACCTCAACCCCAGGTTGTGCCAATAAGCAAGGGGGTGGCCTTGAAGACAAAAAGGATACAGCAATTGCTGAATGACAGTTTTGCCCAAATTAATGCAGTTAAACTATGCTAACACCCCTGCATGGCCAGGAAGACATCTGCTCCATGCATACAAGTGCCTAGCCTCAAGCTACCTCCACGCGTGTCCATCCCTTCAGTCTCCATTAGCTTGGATTCTGCCTTGTTTGCTCAATTAAAACAGAAACAAAACGAAAGACTCCAAGACTCCCAGGCTTCCCTGTTTCCTGCACGCTAACGGCATGCAGTGCCTCTGCCCTTCCCCGTAGTGAGATTAATGACCTGCTCTGTGACTCACATCGTGTCCTTCTCTCTCCCTCTCCTTAACCTTCCCCATCCCGCTTCAACTCCTGGCCAAACAGAGAATGAACAGCCTTCCCTCGTTTGGTTTGACAGAGGAAAGTTTTATTTGACTTTTGAAGGTAAGTAGTGCATAGCATACCAGATTCTAATTTCTAGTCTCCTCTTCCTTCGCTGTTTTTATTCTCGTTGAAAAAAAATTCCCAGCCTTCCTCAAACTTCTGGGGTTTGCTTTCTCCATTAAAAAATGCTATGGCTACTTGGAAAGCATCACGTACTAAAGAAAGCATTTCATGAATTTGGTTGGTATGTGTTCTCCAATTTTTCACGTGGAACAAACTAAAGTTGATTTGCAGAAAACATTGGTTGCTTAATTATTGATGACAAACTAAAAGCGGAATGAAACAGAACCTTCTTTGGCTAAGGAACTTGACTCTGTCAACCAGGCTCTTGCCTAATCCTTTTGCAAGTGTGTTGTGGCAAACTTGAGCACATTTGGGATTGGGATTACGTTTAGCCTAATTTAGGAAGCCTGACATTCCAGAGAGAGAATCCAGTCCTGTGCACTGTAAATGTGTGTGCCTGCGTGTGGAAATGCTCCATGGGGGGTGGGGGTGAGGGTCAGAGAAACAGGAGAAGAGGCAAGGAACGTGAGGGAAAGGTTTGCTCTGCTTCCCCGGGAACTGCAACCGTAATGACTGCAGTAAAATGGGCAACTACTGTTGAATTTGCCATTCCAGAAGGTTAAGAGAAAGGCGTAAAAATAATATCCATGTTTTAGGCTCGATATTTGGCATTTGTTATATTCTCCAGTAAGGGTTAACACTCTTCTGTTCTGTGTGTAACTTCTAACTCATCTTCACAGGCCCCACATCTGATTAAATGGCACACTTAAACTACCAGTGGAAGAGGGGAATTAAGTACTTTACCTAATCAGTCATTTTATGCATAGATATTTATCATATGAGGTCTCATATTGTACAATTTTAAGTAGTGAAATTTATTCCAGGGTCAAAAGGTATATATAAAAATGACACACACACACACATGCACACAAACACGAGAGTTTTGTGTTTGTGTGCATGTGTGGGCGCGTGTGATTTTCTCTCCCTAGAATTAAATACCAATATTGAACTTGTCTTTGTGTTTCAAGACAACAGAAACTTGAGTGTGTGTTTTAAAAATCAGAATGGCTGAAATATAAAACAGTATGAAATATAGCAGCAAAATTCACCCAACAGTGAATTTTCCTAATGCTTGCACAGGTGCAGAAAACATGGTCTGACCTCAAGCCTTTCTGAAGTCCTGGAGTCTTTTCCTGGTATGACATAAAACAGATACTAGGTGGTTCTCCTGGGAGGATGCCTTTTCCCACATGACTTTATCACCTGAGAACGTTAGTTTAGTAATAAGAAATATGCTAAGGCCACAAACTTTTGACTGCCTAAATTTTCTCTTCCAATCAGCAGAAATGAAAGGGTCCAGGTGAGACTTCTGGACCGTTTCACTCCTGTAATCCCAACATGCCAAGCCTAATGCTCTTGAAGCCAGTCAGGGCTAGTACCAAGCTCCATGCTGGAGAGAACCTATCCAAAACCATCCAGACAAAATACATCCAGGCTGCTTCTTACTGATGGGTGCCTCCGTAGAGCATCAGAAGCTGCTGCTTCGGGGTGGGCTGGAAGTCCTAAAGCACAACCCAAACCTGTACCTGCCAAGACTCTAAGTCTGGTTCAATAGCAAAGTCTGCACTCAGCTAAGCAAGCCAGGAAATGAATGAACGTAATAGCGCATCATAGGTATAGAGCAGTCTGGGGTGTCTTTACCTGGGGAAACCTGAAAAGTTTGCAAAAACTGTCCTCTTTTGTCCTGATAGAATGATGTAGAAATGTCTGCATTGTAGAACTCCTTGAGACTATGGCCTCACCTCACCGTTTGTGCTCCAAATGGACAGCCATTCAATGCCTTCTGTTGAATAGCATCCTAACAGAGTCTCTAGGACGCTCATGTGAATTCACTCTTATTCTTACTAATTATTCTTTTCTTCAGTACTTCATCCAGAGAGCAAAGAGCATGAAGTTCCTCATGTCCAGATCTTCACTTGTTCTAAGCAGCTTTTCCTTTATTTACTGACTTCTGAACAATGTTTTCTGTAGTGTTTATAGCTTCATTGTTCATTTTCTGTTCTTCATAATGGTTAGGATCTTATAGTCACTCAGCCAACATTTAAGGGATCTTATAGTCACTCAGCCAACATTTAAGACATTGACCAGTCCATCAAATAACCAATGAACATTGATAAGTAAATTGCGTTTGAAATGACATGAAGTACCTCACACTTACTAACAAATGGGGTACCAAACCTTAGATCAGGGTCCTAAATTACAAGACTCCCAATGTTCTAAAGATATCTTTTGTAAGTATTTTATTTAAAAAATTAATATGTTTTACATTGGGCTTATTAGGGACATGATTCAAAAGCTAGTGACTTTTTTGTGGTTTGGATTTTTTGAGACAGAGTTTCTCTTTTCTGAGACAAGGTTTCTTGCTAGTGACTTTTTAAATCAACCAGAAGAAAATCCTGGGGTTGAGACAGGATTCGGCTCATAAAGACTTACCACACAAGTATGAGAACCTAAGAGTCACCCCAAAACCTAGGTGTCACAGTTCACACTGTAATCCCAGCACTATGGAGGCGGAAATAGGAGGATCTAAGGACTCACTGGCCAGCCAGTCTTGCAAAATGGCGAGCTCCAGGTACAGAAAAGACCCTACCTCTAAAGTAAGGTGCAGAGCAATTGAGGAAGATGCCCACCATTGACCACTAGCCATGTGAATGCACACCCATACACATGTGCACACACCTGCATGGACACTCACGTGCACATGAGTGCACACACACACACACACACCATACACACAGTATGTCTGCCTTCAGCATCAAGCATCCTCAGGTGGAAGGGAATGATATTTCCGTGACAAATCGGGGTGCCTAATAGATATTTCAATTCCATCGTGCCTTTTAATGTCAAAATGTCTCCAAAAACATACTGCCTCCCTCCCTGGATGACTTCTTAGACTACAAAACCATTTTGCATCTGGAAAATCAAACAACAGCAAAACCCTTGGTACCCTAAGTTTCCCTGTGTCTTGGACCATCTCAGTCACCTGGGTCACATATCCTCTGTGACCCTGCATACCGCTCTTCCTGTTGGCGTGGCATCTTCAGCACCCCTTCCCTACATGTTCAGCCTCTCTGTTAAACTCATTTCCCTAACTGCACCCCAGCTCTCTTCAAGGACCCACATTTCTCAGAAGCTGTCTCCACAGAACGTTCTTCGCTTTCCTGGGGCCATGTGCCATGTGAGAGCCAGCTTTAAATTCTCACGGCTCTGCTCTACCCGTCAAAACCTCCTGCCTCTAGACAACACTCATCGATCATCTATCTAATCGTTCCACCAGCTTCCCTCCTTATTACCATTGATCACTGACCTCCAGGCCTCCCTCTGCATTGATCTATAGACGCGAAGTACCAGCAACTTCCTTTTAATCACGCTCACTTTCAAGCACCCTCCCTCACAGGTTCTTTGGGGATGACTCATTCAACTCATGGTCTCTAGGGAATCTCAGGCTGCCTCGGCCTCCACTTGTTTCCTCGGCTCTACTCAGAACCAGCGCTTTGGAATCAGTGCCTACACACAGGCTTCACCCAGCTTAGCTATGTCATAACTAAAGCCTGCTGTGCGGCTTACATACTAGAAACTGGTAAGCGATGATTCTCTCAGTCAACAACATCTATTGAGGGCTGTGCTGGCCGCTCCACACTAGCAACGGAAACAAAAATATCCCTGTGGCCACAGAGCTTACGTTCTAGCATGCAGGGTTAAAAACGGAGAAATAAGCAGCATGTATAGTGTGGAGATGGTAATGAGTTCTATAAGAAAGATAAAACTTGGTGGAGACTGGCGCACACTGGGAGACGCGAGGCAATAAATAGTGAGTACGGTAGACTTGAGCACTCTACACAAGTCACTGCTGAAGAAACTGAGATTTGGGTGATAGCCCTCCAGAGCCTTACAGCCAGGCAGCGGAGAGTTTTAAAACCATGTGGAAGACACCCTGCCTCACTCCCTCAGCCCGCTGTAGACATAGTCTCATCTTCAGGGCGGAGTTTTCTCTCCCCCTCAGCCCTCTGACTCTGTCATTCCTAGACACAGCTTCTCTGGGCCTCACTGAAACCTCCCTCCCACCCTTCCCACTCTGACTCCACCCACCAGGCCAGTCATCCAGTCAGGTTCTTTTCTATATCCTGATTAGACCCCAGAGAGTAAAAATATATTTCTGGAAGGATTTTGGTCATCTCTGAAGTAAAAGACTTTCTTTTCTCTCTGGACTTATGTTGACTCTGTGAAAAGGTATGCTAAATGTCTGACGACTGTAAGCAGGCTTTTTAATGTTCCGAATTTCATGTAGCTAACTCTCAGCGCTTTCTCTCTCTCTCTCTCTCTCTCTCTCTCTCTCTCTCTCTCTCTCTCTCTCCTGCCTATCTGTCTGTCTCTGTCTCTCTCGTGGTTCTAGGGATTGAACTTATATCTTCACATCCACTAGGCAAGTGATCTGTCGTTGAGCTACACCCCAACCTCACTCTCTTTTGTTTGCCCTGATTTGTAATAAGAACCTCTAAGAGTTCGGGAAGGCTGATTAACTCACTTGGAAGTCATTAAAGAAAGGAAAATTGAAAGGTGTGGACAGTGTTCTGGGAAATAATTGCCTTGCTTAATTCCCAGTGTTCTCCAGGTGGGAGGGGCCCTCTGATTGTGCCACTTAACTCAGGCCCTTTTCCATCAATAACACATTAAGGTTAACGAGTACTTGCTCTGAAAACCTCACTACATCAAGCTATCGGGCAGGTGAAACAATGCAGGAGCATGAAAAGTAGCAATTCAAGTCCCGTCTTCATTCAAAATAAAATCTCAATCTTCGTCCTTCTGAGATTGTGTTGACTGTGCCATGCATACGAATTGTACAATCTTTTCAAATAATAATAGAAGCCCACAAAGCATTTGTTTCTTTGTTTCAACACACTAAATCTGTTTAAAAGATTAAAGTGCAATTGAAATCT